TTTCAACCACCCTCTTGGTCGCAATTTCTACTCTATTGTATTCCCAATCCCGCGCTCTCCGTTTGCAAAAATCAAAATGGATTTCAACTACACACAGCAGTACTACACCCTCGTTCCAAAAATGCACCTACACCGCAGACTAATATGAGCTTATTTATTTCAAACTGTTCCTTGTTACAGTTCTAATCAACAATTTCAAATCGCTTCAATCATTTTTCGCATATTTTCCACCTCAAAATTTATCATAATATTTACTCATCTGAATAGGAACACGTGAGATTCACAAGAGTCCGTTTCAATTACCACCCTCAAAGAAATACAAAAATAGAGGTCTAATAAAACAGTGCAATTAGGAAAGTACCCTCGATAAAAAATAACGGCCATAAAAATTCCGTTACGTGGTTTGTACAACTAACGAAAGAAAAACACTTGTAGTTCCCACGCCTCAATGGGCTTGGAAAGTTGGTTTGTTTGTTCGTACAACGTTTGCGGCCGTAAAATTCCAGGACTTTTACAATATTTTAAAAAAACAGACTGAATTCATAATCAACACGAAAATAGCATTTGCAGCAACTGAACCAACCCATTTACAGTTTTAAAGTTCACTCGACGTTATTATAACCACCGTTTGGCCATGAATTTACGGTCGCAACTACGAGATGTTTAAAAAAGAAACGACTGTTTTTCGTTTAAGCCAAAATAAAGTAGTCGAAATAACCTTGCGTAGCCGCATAAAAGGGGAAGTCGAAAGAAGGTGATGTTTATCACGACTTTTCATAATTTCTGCCTAATTTTAAAAAAATTCCATGACTTTCGAGCATTGACGCCATGGACGACTCATGATCCTGACTCATACTAGGAGAATTTGCTACGTGACATACGATTTGCATATTAGCGTCTCTGAACAAACTGTCGCCCGACGTAAGGGAATCCAAGACAGTCTTGGATTCTGGATTCCACGCTGTGCATTCCAGATTCTTTGTCAGTGGTACTTGGGTTCTGCATCCAGTCGTTAGTGGGATTCCAGATTCCACGAGCAAAAATTTCCCGGATTCCACTACATGGGGCGAAAACCGAAACACAAGGTTAAGCGTACCTTAAAATATTTTCGGACCTAGCCCCGAATTCAACATCAAAAAACCTAATTTATCTCAACAATTGTATAAACCACGTAGGAAATTTTCTTGGCCAGATGCGATAGAAAACTGCTGTACATTAATGAAAAATTGCAGCATTAAATTAACTATGAAATACACCGCGAACGCGAAAGGTAATTTAACACTCTTGAGGATACTAAAACACATTCAAGGAAAAAAACATAACCCGGTATCATAGCTTATCATTGAACTTATTCCTTACAATCCTTTTTTTTCAGCGACGATAATACTCTCGGCGTACCAATGAATTTCTGAGTAATAATAGATTTTTCTGTAATAAATTATTAAATCTTTAAATTCGCTATGCATATCCTGAGGTAACTACTTAAAAAATAAACTCGCACCTGAGTTTTTTTTGTTGTTTCAATAACTTTGGAATAATTTTGTCTTAATTGCTCTTGAATAATATCCGAATATTTATATACTCAAGTAAATAAAACTCTTTGCTCAGGCACTCTGCTCCTTCCTTGGTTTTTGCAGAGAGAAATTTTGCAGATACCAGCTACTTAGCTGTAGACCATTTCATCTCAAAGAAACTGGGTAACTGTTATAAGGCTGCAATGTCATCGAAAATTTAATGATTTGGGTCTTTCTATCACTAATCGCGACGGCGGAACAAGAAAACCGCTACTTGCATAAAGAATGTTCAAGCTTTTGAAGAAATTCATCAGGCTAGTGAAGCTATTAAGTCGATGTAAATGTTCTTAAAACATAGCCTATCAGGGAGGGAGCCTATTAGCTTTCTCCCATATGGACACAAGTGATCTCCACCCCCAAACCAGGGGGGGGGGCGTCTACAGAGTGACTTTGCGCGTTTATCGCAATAATTAACACCTTCAGAAGCCTATTTAAGGCTTCTGACACTTTTAATGTTTTTCAAGTTTTGATAAAGATGGCTGACAGTCACCGAAACAATCAGCATCATTAAGACGTTAAGACTGGCTATGTTTTAAAAACATTTAAATCGACTTAATATTCAAGCTCGTTGACACTTTGTCAACACTTTCTCAGATATGACCAGGACCGAACACTACAGAATAATACGATCCTTATGATATGCGTTGCAAAGTGTCCTCATCGATAGACAATTTAAATCGCTCCTCTCGAAGGGCTGTTTTCTCCAATAAAACTTTTTTTCGCGCCTATTTGACTCACTATTTGTTAAATCTTTCAAGCAACGTTGTCTTATATTGTAATCATTAAGTTTGATCGAGAACTTGTTTGAACTGATTTTAAGTCCAAACCAGAATAAATATTCTATCTAATCACAATACAGATTAATAAAGTACTGAACCAATCAGAGAGGCAAATACATATCGCCGGCGTCAGGCAGGCGCGGGAAAACTGGTGTGACCAAGTTAGACCAAGTGACGTTTGTTTACTGTTTTCCCTCTGATTGGTGAAAAAAGGGCGCAAGATTGATTCTATGCGGTTTGTTAACTGATGCCAGCTGTCGCCAGTAAATCTGTATTTGCATCTGACGGAGATTGTTTATACACAATTTTTGATGTTTACCAACTCAATTCTTTGAACATAGGGAAAGTACAGGCGCGCGCTTGGTTGCATCCACAATACTTGGAATTGACAACCATCGAGTCTGTCCGCCAAGTCAAAAACTTCAAATGTTTGGTTGACCAACGTCACATCAAACACCCGCAAAAGAACTCTGCGAATAAAAGGCTTATTGACCTTATCTCAACATTTTCTCTCGCATTTCGAAATCTATATCAACAAATTTAGCGAGTTTAAACTGCTCAACGCTTTTGATGAACAATTACATCACTACACTACGGGGGATTCTCCACTTGAACTAAGGCACTCCAAACTCGCCTCAGCTTCTCGCAATCCACGTTTTCTGACCTGGATAGGCGTGTTCAACACGTGGTCTCGGCTCTTCCGAACAGACCGATGGGAAAGTTCTTGATATGCGTGGGCCACTGGGAGGAGAGTGAGAAGAACTTGACACCGCTCCACGTCACACCATCAATAACAACTGAAAGACAATAAATACAACACTAAGAATCTGCTTATGCAGTCTGGACTCTACCTACTGCTATCTATTTAACAAACTGACAACAATTTTCCACAGTCTATACTCCCATCGACCGTAGAAACAACACCAAAATGTTGAAAACTTAAGTGAAACAGGACAGCCGCAGGCAAGTGGTTTCACTGCAAAGCGGTAGGAGTAGAGACCATGGACCATTACCGTCAAATTGCGTCATCACCGCGTCATTTCCATGGTCCGCCCTCTTGTCGACCATAGCTCTCGACCAATCAGCGTCCGAAAAACAGTTATTGCAAAATTAACAAATCGACAACTATTTTCCATGGTCTGTTATCTTAGCGACCATAGAAATGACGTCAACATGTTCAAAACTCAAGTGGACCCACGAACCGCAGGCGAGTAGTTTCACTGCACTCACTTGCGGTTTTTGAAGACCTCACTTGCGATTGACGTGCGTCGCCCAAAAACGCCTTTACTTAAGCTCCCTAATAAGTAAGCTGGGCATGATCGTCCGGGTGATAGTAGTCCTGAATAGGACTGTTGTTGTTGACAGTGACTGACGTTTCGACAACCTGTGCGGTAGTCATCTTCAGAGTCAATCTTTCACGTGCTAAATATCGTTCTCGAGGGCCGTTAATGTAGAATTTTGCGCGAGTTCACAACTTAAGCAGCCTTTAGCTACAGCAAGAACTACAATCACGGACAAAAGCGTTGGGACCCTTTTGCATTTCTGGGCGTTTTGCAATTCACCCTGGCCCAACCCCTCCCCTTACCCCGCAAACAACATTGGACGCGTGTATCCAGAAGTTTTTCCGAGGTTCAACTTTGTATAGGGTGGGGGGGAGGGAGAACTGCAAGAAAATTTCGGAGAGGATACACTGTTTTACGAGGGAACCCAGAATGACAAAAAAATATAAATATTGCATTACTGTCCCAAGGACTTTTGTCCATGATTGTAGTTTATTACCCTGGGTACCAGCGTGCGGCAGGATTTTTTGGGGTCGGCACCAGGTCGACACATCTTCGGCCGAACGCTTAAGCCACAAGTGGGGAGGACGCGACAAAAAACGGGTCACCATGAAGTCCCTGGCTCCCAGGGTACTATGTAGGTTTATTGACTCACCGTTTAAAGTACTGCTCTGTCCTCTTGTGGTACAGATTAGTTTGGACACACTCGCCACCACAGGTTGATTCTTGGATTCGGTGTCTCGCTCTTTTGATTTCTTCATGGACCGCATAACAGCTTCAAGTCCTGCAGAAAGGATGTAAAACAGCCGTAAGATGCTGGATCACCGAGACTTAAGTGCACACAAGCGAAAGCGTTTAAGATGTATCAAAGGCACATATATGTTACATTGAGCAGAAAACATATATCATTACTAAAGAAAGCTACACATACTCGGCTTTTTATAAAACATAATGGCTAATAGAGGCTTTTGGATTCGAAGGCGAGGACATCTACGAGGAAAAGATTTGCCTAGTTTTTCTTTTCTCGCATAATCTAAAAAAGGACATCCCGGGAAGCTTCAAAAGTTAACACGGTTATTCTTATTGAAGGAGGTTTACTCTCCCAATCCCAAATTGGTAAAACTTCTAACATTTGATACCTAGTTTCCGTCACTACGATTCTTGCTAAACCCGTGGTAGAATAACGGCGGCTATCGCGTTTTCCCGCCCAAATGACACTGGTTCACGCGCGCGCACTACTTAGGATAGAGAAAATCTGATTCTCGGAGTCGTCCTCCTCTCAGAATCTAGTGGACTCTAAAACCACCTGACTGGTTAGTCGGCGCATACAAGTTGAGGTCGGACGTAAGTTTTACGCAACTGGCCCTAGAATGAACCCAGGAATAATTGTTTTTAAAATACTATTCAATAAGTAAAGTTTCGCACTCAGTTCACTGGGTTGTTTGTCGTTTCCTTGGAGAACTTTAACTGATGCGGACAGTGATCGCCATAAAACAAAGGAGACGAATTGCGTTGGAAGAAAAACATGAAAATTTTATAGCGGCCACTCAAAAAAAGAACTAATTCTTTTTAAAAACAATTTGCACATGCTATTATTTGTTCTCTAGCCTGCGTGTCAGGCGTTAAAAGGGAAGGGGAAGGTTAATTTTGTCAGCAGTTAAATTGGTTCCAAGAAACAAAACAAAACAAAAAAATACGCAAAGAAAATACACTGCATATACAGTAAGGTACTGGGGTCTTTGCACGGGTCAACTAGAATATCCTCGAAACAACTACTGACTAAAAACGAGAAAGGAAAAAATACAAGGCATAACATCAATCCAGACCTCTCTTATTGCGTTCTTTGGTCACAGCCATGACTGTCAGCGCAGATGGTTCATCTGGAGATTCGAGGGATGGGAGTCTGGAGACGACTAGCGTTCGAAACGTTGTTTTGAGAGACGACTAAAAAGAGAGAAAAAGACTTCAGGGAAGAACAAACGCACACACGCAAATCACATAGCTCATAAAGGACCTATGTCAAGGCAGCAAATAAAACAAACTCAAAGTATAAACAGTACCTTATTAACATCCTTTTTTAATCCCGGTACCAGCCAATAGTCAACTTGAAGATCCATTAGCTCACTCGACCACAGGCCTACTCCGCTTCCTCCGCTGTCATGGAGGCTGGGAACGAAAAAAAGAACGCGAGCGTAAGAAAAAGGGAGATCTTTACCGTAACCAAATGAGAGAACTCGCAAAGGTAAATCAAGTTGTAGTCAAGAGGTAAAAGTGAAGAGAATAACTCTTAGCAACTCCAAAACATGGTCGTTGTTTGTAATAACGAGGTGGTAACATCTTCGAGGTTGCAGAATGAGGAAATGAGTGAGCATTTATTCGGGCCAAAAATCACAGGGTCTGGATAACGAAGAGGTGGTAAGGTGAACAGTCAAACAAGTACTCTCCAGCCTAGTACACTCTGATGCCTGACGCTGTATTACACTGGGTCATACCCAGAGATCATGAATGCCCCTGAATGCATAGGAAAAGATTTAGGGCACAATTCACGCCATAGAAAACGAAACGATCACAAGTTTACTCTAGCACTGATTTTACTCCTTACACCGCACGTACCTTGTCGAAGGAACGTTTGAAATTGGGGGCGTCTGGGGACTTCCTAGGGCGGGTCCCTGATTCTCAGACCTCAAATTTGTCCCTATGCTCTTAGCTCCGGTACTCGTCGGCATACTAGTGGTTGCTACAGGTTCGTCGTCTGCTACAATGCAAAAACGAAATAAAAGACGATGAGAACAACTATTGATGGCTAGCAGATCACGGGGCGCGGATTTGGCGGCACATTGGCATAACCTGTAAACTTAAGAAAATACTGAATACTGAATACTGAAATAAATAAGTAAACAAACAACCAAATGAATGAATGAATGAATAAATAGATAACAATTCACGGGTGGCTCACCCACGAGGTGATCCTTTGTTCACCCATCAGAATCGAATTGGAATTTGGAAATATTCATTTCTGACAAGAAGGGAAAACCGAGGCACCCAGAGAAAATCTTCTCGGTGCAAGGGCGAAAATCAACAACAAACTGTTGCCTCCAATATTCGAACTCAGGCCAGGCGAGTGCTGTCACCATTTGGCCGCCTTTGCTCCATAGTTCCTTAGCTACGAGATTGTCCCGCGACTCCGCCCAACCCAACATTATCCAGCAACTAACGAGTAGAAGGAATCTTTATAGCGTTTTTTAGCAAAAGTTATAAAAGCCGGTAGGCATCCAGGTTACGTTTCAGTTAAGGCCAAGCATTGTCCCGTGTCTCTTACCTTGATCTGTTGAACCAATCCTGACGTCCTGTAAGAAAAATACGCCAGATACCAATTTTAGGAAACTGGATCCAAAAGGGAACCCCTTAACTTTGCACAACAGCAAACATAGTCAATCCCATAAATTTCCGTTAGTCTTTAATGAAACGTAAATCTGGGAGAAGATTCTGTTACTTTTATACTTACACAAACAAACGGTAGAAATATTTGCGATGAGCCCTCTTCAGACCTAAACACAAAAAAAGAAAAATCAGCTTTAAGGAAAAATACAGAGATACACGATTTACCTAGATGCGACTAATCGCAATCCATGATAACCAAGGAATGAAAACACTACATTCTATGCTCTGAGATAAAGGAAGTGCAATCTGAAAAGTCGAGCTATAAAGGAACAAAAATATTAGCCTTCCCTCTTCACCGTAGTCCGTCGCTCGGTTACTGCCGAACAATCAATACTTTCTCTTAAATTTCATCTACTGAAACTTTGGCAACAAAGTGGGAAGCATGGGAGCACGCTCTCTTTCTGGGAGTTCTTTGGTTGGGTTTGGAAGTGGGGGAGGGAAGGGAACAAAGGACAGCTCCCTCGTCCCATTCCCACCATCCCGTTCGCCCGCGGGTCGAACACAGAGACTGTCCTGAGAGCTTGCTCGAAGGAGGAAACAACACAATAACAGACAGCAGGCCCGGGTTGCTCTAAAGGAACCTTAAATCTTGGGAATGAGGTTAAGATCCATTAATTTTCACTAACCCTTTTGGTTTTGTATTTACAAGTGCCTCAGCAATCGGCAGGTTATGTGCGATAGTGGCCGTTGACATGAAGGTTTTGACTCGTCTGCTGACTTCCTCAAAGTCTATAATTAAAAAAAAAAACGCCATGTTGTTAGCGTGGGACTAAGACTACAGAGCGGTCAAGCAGCTTAAAAATAGCTGAAAGTGTTAACAAATCTACCTACCAGACGTTTGTAGGAAGAGATTAGAAAACAACTCAATAGAAAAAAAAAACAATACGAGGCCATAAAATTTGTTGGTTATTTCTGCACCTACTGACAAAATCATTAAACTTCGTGTCATTGGAAGTTACATAGGAAGTTACAACCTTTTTCAGGCACTTCAATTGGCAAAGACAGCAAGGTCGTTCGGAGGGGAGTTAAACATTTTCAAATTTGAAGTTTACGTTGAAGTGTATATGGCAAGGCTATAATAGTCGTCCTGACTAAGGAGGAAATTTCACTCGGGAATGATGACAAGTACTACCGAACGCCTTCCTGGAAATAGACAACTGTGCAAATGGTACAAGGCCATTTAGAACAGAATTTTTGCCATTCATGAATTTTGCTTCCCCTCTGCAGAAATCGTGGACCAGTCACCAGATAACCAGATTTCATTATCAACAGACAGAGAAAGTATGCTACAGACTCACCGACAGTCGTGTCAGAGTGTTCAAACGCTTCTTTCCAAACATTGTCCATGAAAAGAGAGCTGTACCTCGGATCCAACGAAGCGATATACTTGGCTAACGGTTGACTGTCTGTAAACCATAAACAAATTGGATTAACTCTTCAAGCCCCAACAGTGATTCATGGAGATTATGAAAATTTAGTATATGATCACTCAGGATACATTCTCTAAAATATTTAAACAAATTCTCCCTAGTACGTCGATAAAAACGTAAGGAACAAGAAGGAAGAATTTGTAACTTAAAATTAGCACGCGATATGCACATGTGTATTATGCCTAAAACTTAAATCTTAAAATGGACAAAAATGGTTGCTCAAGTAAAAAAGGGCATAGGGAGAAGAGATTTATCCGAGTGACCTGTCATGAGGTACAAAACAAATATAAACTACGACCGTGAGGGAGGCTTTGCCTTTCGCAAAGTCTTTCGGTACTTCCTTTTAAAAAAGGTAGTTGTATGAACTTACCGAGGGGAATAACGAGAAAGCGAAGAAAATTTTGCCAATCTGATGGCTTTGAAGCGAAGTGTTCCACGTAAGGCTGCAGTACAGCGCTGATGTACGACTCTGTGCCGGCGATCGCTACACTCAGCTGTCGGGTTGACTTTGGATGTGTATTACAGCTAACGAGAAAGAAGGGATATAACGTGAGACACAACATGACACAGAAGGTTATAAGAGAATTGGTGTCTTCTTACAATTTCTGATATTTATTTACGATGGCCAAGAAAACTGCATGTACGTCTGAACTTGATCTCGTGCAAATCATCTTCACAGCTTTATCACAGAGCTTTAGTGCCAACAGCTGCAGAAACAGAAGAGGGAAAAATTAAACCTCATACCGTCAAACAGCGTTCTGAGAGTGCTATTACATAAACCCAAACGCGCCGTGCGCATTAAAAACACATCGCTTTTTCTCCTCTATGCCACCTACCGTAGACGCCAAATCGGAGTCTTTGGTCACCCACAGAAAGGGTCACCAGGGCGAAAACTGAATTGAAAACAGGGGCTAAGTGGTGTAACGTGGTGGGTCGAACATGAGGATTTTCGAAAAACACAGACACGAAATGGTCATGAGATGGTCATGTTAGGGCGAGTTGCTTCGTCGACGGCCAAGAGCTGAGGACTTTTCGTTTTCAAATTGTGTCCAGATTATTCTGGATGGTGAAAGTGAGATGAAAATCGATCAGAAAACGCTATAAAGAATAAATTTAAATGAAAATCATATATTAGAACTGCGGAATGCAGAATTAAACGTAAAGGAGATCATCGCAAGTTCAGAAAACGACATACGACGGACGGAAAACGTTTCACCTCGTTTTTTTGCGTTGAAAACACACATACATTTATCATTCTGGTAACTGAACTTAAAAGTAACTTGGAGCAGACTTCCCTCCTTACCTGTCCTTGCCACTCGGCAGTATTGATCAACAGAATGGACTCAGGAATATCCCCTGATAACACACTGCTCAATTGCTCGTTTAACGTGACTTTCGGTAGCTGAAATCAGGAATAACACATTTAGCTTCTTCGGCTTCAATAATTAATTATTTTATTGGGGATTATATTCCTGCAACTTCTATATAAATGAAGAACAAGCAAAATATGAATGGCTTTAAACCCACCTGTAGATCGATATCGCTGTTTCTTCTTTTGGTTAAAGTGTCCGAGTCATCCAAATTTCGTTTTTCCTTGAATGACACACTCCGTCGTACAGACGGCGTCTCGTCCAAGCCTCCTCCTGACAAAGCGTCAGACGTGTTCGTCGAGTCCGAAAGATTTTCTCCGTCAGACGGTGGACTTACAACGTCCTACGCACAAACAAACGAACAAACAAGTGAACTTACATGTACAACAATGCTACTGCTACAAACTCATTAACTGATACATTATTTCAACAAAACTCACCATTTCATGATCTACTCGAATATCTTCAGCTTCCTGCACCTGAATTGACGACGGCGGACTTCTAAGCTCTTCTTCGTCAATCTAATGTACCAGAACATTATTCAACAAAACAAGCTACTCATTGAAATTTAACCAATTATTGTTTAGCTTGTATCACAAAAAAATGTGGCTTATCAGTGCCTGGCAAATCAGCTTTCAGCATCAGCAAATAACAATTAGCCTGCTTGGATTTGCATTTGCCGTGATGGCGGTCGGTCGGGTTTGAACGGCCTTCCGTCCAAAACGGCGCAAAAATGGGTATTACACGAGAAGAGATTAAGAATCTTTTAAAAGAAGCAATAGAACCCTTAGAACGAAAGTTAGAGAATCTGAACAACGGGTTTCAGGAGTTAAAACGTTTAGTTGATTTCGCAAATGGGAAATACGATGATGTACTTGTTAACATAACTTAAGCATATACTCTTTCTTTCTTAATACACTGTATTTTAAAACTGCTTCTTTGGAAATAAATTCTATCTCAATTCTCTAAAACTTTAAATTCTGGAGAACTGGCTAGAAAATCTTAGGATTATTTCAGCTCCAGGCCTTATTAAGTACAAATAAATAAATATATATATATTTTCTCTTTCACGTGTGTATGTAATTAATTAAGTACAAGGCGAATAAAGGTATTGTCGTTGTTGTTGCCATTGACATATCACAGTTTTATGTTGCTCACTCTCTTTAAGGTGATGTTGCAGGGGACAATTCGCAACGACGATTCTTAGCGCAATACAGCGTTGCAACATTGTTGCGATATTGTTTCGAATGGTTGCAGCATTGTTTCAACATTGCAACGCTTTGCTGCGCTAGAAATTTTCGTGGCGAATTGTCCCGTGTAACCTCACCCTTAGCCTGCAAGGAAGCTCTACATTTGGGGGAGTCGCGCGAAGGGTTACCGGTCGTTTCGATACAAAGTTGTCTCGATACAAGTCGTTTGGATACAAGTTTATTCATTCGAAGTGTAAATAGTTCCACATACTTGGCTTAAAGAACGAAGATATTCACCCAAAATGTTTTTCTTGTTCACTGGCAAACTATACTTAAAGTGAACAAAATCTTTGTGCAGTTTCACTGGTTGAGCTTGTATCGAAACGACCGGTTTCCGCTCGAAGTCATGCGAGAGTCGCACGCGAAAGGAGACGCTTCGCTCGCCATAATTGCAGAGCTTGCTCGTGGGCTACACCGACTCTTCTATTAACTGTTTCACAGGCAAATTTTGCTGGAATATTGCCCCTTAATCACGTTATCCATCAAAATCATAACTTACCAAAGTGTCGACATGATTTGAAACATTTTCAACTGAGCTTCTAGGGTCAAAGAAAGGTCTAAAAACAAATAAAACGAAGTCATGTGTTTTATCAATGGCATCAAAAAGTTGACTTGACCATTCTGAAAGAATCTGAAACTGGCATTTGAAGTATTTGAAGTGCTAAAACCAGTTGCAAAACTACTTGGGACACGTTTTGTGAGATTCATATAGCCTGTCCACGATCTTGTGCTTGTGATTCCCCATTCTCCCATGTACAAAGTTGGTAGTAGTAAAAGACCATGCTCAAAACTTAGATGAGCAACATTGACTGGAGGGGAGGGAGGGGAGGGAGTAGAGGGAGTGTTATATCTCAGAGAAGTGTGACCAGCAACAATTTGAGGTAAAAAAGGCCGGTTTTTCTTCAAAGTGCCTCAACATTTTGCAACTGGTGGTAAAGAAAAATTCTGGTCAAATGATTTCTATATAGCATGTGTGACAGGCGTTCGAAATGGAAGGGAAAGGGAATTTGGCCCAAAATCCCCTTTCCCTTCCCTTTCGAATGCTTGCCATGCAGGCTAATTCCTATAAAAAATGTAAAACAATCTGACAAAATGACAGAACCACGGTATGTCTTATTTTTAGTGAAAGTGCACATGCAGCTCTTGCTAGTTTACAAGCATTCCATTCAACTAATCAAAATAAACATACATTGTTTTGTAACATGATTAAAAATCTCCAGGTTTGGTAGGGCTGGGGCAAACAAGTTGACAAGTATGACCAAGACGCTGACCTAACGATGACTCCGTCTTGAAACGGAATTTAATAAAATACCATATTTAATACCTGAGAGAAGGTTTAGGTGTTGACACAATACTTATGGAGTCTTCAAGAAGGTTATTTTCCATGTCACTGTCCAAGTCTTCTAAATCATCAGGAAAGAGAAAATCATCCCCTGCCTCATCATTTTCTGGAGGGCTGATATCCATATCCTGAAGAGTTCCCATCTCATTAACTAATGCCTTCAAGAAATAATTAAACACGTGAGTCAAATACAGTAGTCTGCTTGAGTGGTGACACCGTTGATTGTCTAGAATTCTCAGAGGTGGCCTGTGAGCAAGCACTTTGGGGCCTTCTGGCACCAGGGCAGAAAAAAGGGGGGAGAGCTTACAACCACATGTATGTCTCTGAAATTTGAATTCTGCCTCCAATTTTCCAGTGGCTCCACATCGACTGAGCTGTCAGATTTCCACTAATCAGCTCAAAGCGGAAACCAGCATGAATGTAAAAACACATTGAAAAACACGCATTTCCGGTCGTCGCTTCTCTCCCTATTTTCCCAATTTTTGGAGGGAGAGAAGCGACGACCAGAAATCTCTGGGTCTGCTGTTCGCAGGCTAACAATAGACTCACCTCCTCTGGGACTTTAAACTTCTTAAGGAGTGCAATAAACTTTTGTTTAAAATTCTTCTGGTGCTAAATAATAAAAAAAGAATATAACATTAAACTCCTTGGGCACATCAGTCAAAGAAATAAAATTCCAGCACTTACATGATAAAAATATTATTAAAAGGGCATATGTCTGTCTAAGAAACCATTTTTGTCAAAAAAAACAAAAATGCTCTCCAATTCCCTAAAAGGACACATTACATGTATGTATCTTAAATTGCAAGTACACAGCTGCACCACATATTCACTACAATACTACTATCTAATTGGTACGACAAAAAAAGTTAAATCTGTCTTGAGTATTCGTAAATTATTCACGAACGTTCAATGTAGATTTTGTTCATCTGAAAATTAAAAATAATAGTCTTAACTATTAACTTTGTCTGGACATCACTTCTGACATTGTGAGAAATGGGCAAATTTTTAGTAAGAAATTGTCTGATGATCCGCTTTACCTGCCCTGCAGCTTTAATATGTAACTATGTTGCTAAAAAAAGTGCACTACACAGAATCTCTTATTTGTGAAAGTATTGACTGATAAGATGAATTTTACTCTATTATTATATAATTAGATTTTTCGTACTGCATAAAAAGTTCTATACTACAGCTATTACAGATTAATAAGCTACATTTTCTTCAAAACATGGTGCATTGTTTCTTTACATAATGAAAATCTTAACTCACTTTTTATGTCAATTTTTGGTACAAATATAATCACATCAAAAGAGTTAAAACAAAATTTTAAACATGAAAGTTTGGTTTTATTTACCTTGGCTGGTATTGTTATTTTTCCACGCCTTATTTTACCTCCCTGTCTCTGTTCCACATCAAGAATATCCTTGAAAGAAAAATCGAGTTCCTTCATCAAAACAAGGCTTTGTGCACAACCACTTATGAATATGAAAAGGGGCCGAGTTTGTATCAGAACTGAAGGCAGCTAAAACATACTTATTACATTGTAAGTGACGAAAAGAGAATTTTTGTGTTGTGGTCCAAGCACACAGAGATAAAGCAAACTAAATTAGCTGTGCTTACAGCATCTCCACCACTGTCACTTGCTTCCTGGTCTGATAACGAGTAATCATCATCATCATCACTAGAGTTCTCATCACCATCACCTGAACAAAAAACACAACACATTATTAAATTCCAATGGTTATCAAACTCTGTAAAATTATCAAGTCTCTCACTATGTATTTTACTACTGTACGCACCTCTTACTGCTGATCCAGTCATTCTATCTGTTTCAACCGGCTGGCTGTGAATACACAGGAAATAAGCTAATTACTTTGCATTCAATGATTAAAACTGCTTCTTCACAAAATGTACATGTACATGTACTAACTTTAAAGTGCAATAATTTTCACTGCTAATTAAGACATAAGCAAAAATCTTTTACAGAGGAGATCCATAGCAGCTGCATTACAGACAACTTCAAGTGGCCATATAAGAAACCACCTTCAAAAGCTAAGATTTGCGCGTTACTTAGTGGAGGTAGATACTGACTACATTTGTACAATTTTCATTAAGATAACAGTTTTCGGCCAACAAAAAGAAAAGCCCCAAAAGTAACAACCGAAAAGGAACAAGTCAACATTGCTTGGGGAGAGAGGGCGAACTATACCTCACATGACAACTTCAGTGTTGCGACCAACAATTTTGTAACTGATTGTACATTGCAAGAAGAAAAGCTACCACGAAAAGTTATGTAGTTTTACCCAAGCACAACCAACCTAGTAAGAGAGTTGACAGTAATCTGTGCCACAGGGGCAGGTGTTCCCTTTGTGTACAACTTTAACTGATTTTCTACTGCATGCTGAAGGACCTGGAAACAACAAGTATGTAATAATAATCACGATATATAAATGTTACCTAATATTCTAAGGATACATTTGATTGATCGCATTCTGGAGTAAGAATACATTGAAATTGGTGTTAAATCTCTTCAACTGCAACCTTTTTGACCATCAGCATGCTAAAAACTATTAATTAACTGTTATTATTGCCCACCAGATTTCTGGATTTTACAGTCCAATGATTGCCAGAAACTAGTGATTTTCAGAGTTTATATTCCATCAGGGTTCGCAAATATGCCAAATTGGGCATATTTTGCGCCAAAATTGTTCAGATGACTCCACTGAGTTTACGGAGGGAGTCACTTCAACTCCAGAAATTTTCGGTAACAAAGTTTTGTCCTTGTAACCTTTTTCACAACAAATACAATTTAATATTACGTTAATTGTAAACATTGTAAACCTTAATTGAATCATCAAAATTAAAGAATTATACTGCACAACAAAACAGGAGGTCAGGGTAAATTACGATCAAAGTTTACTCGATGACCGCCATCATGGATTTGAACTTTCCACGTCAGAGGTCTGCCACAGCTACTTCATGTATCCCTTGACAAGATAGTGTATATGTTGTAGTTAATTTTTTATCTTAGGTAATTTTTGTTTTTCTTTTGTTTTGGGGTATGGTAATGTATGCTAATGAAGTTGAAACAAAGGAAAAATAAAAATTACCTGAGATAAAAAATTAACTACAACATATCCATGCCAGGGCCATGTGCTGGAAAGTCTGAAAATGGCTTTTTTCGTTGTGGTATTCCAAAATGACTCCAAAATTTGTGAAGCAGAAGTCACGTGTACTGACTCCACTCATCAATAAAATTTGCAAACCCTGTCCATTTATTATTAAATACGGTCTTTTGAATGCACCCTAATAATACAATTGGATCCTGATCTTTTAGTTTACTTTAGTGAAGGTTAAAATGATTTCAACCTGGTTTGAAACTCAGTTTCCTTTGTCTGTTACATTTAAGGCTTACGATACATGTGTAAGTCTTGCACAAAAAGTGACCATTCAGAGCCAGGTACAAATGTTCAAAAGTGTCAGTTATTTTGACGGTGTCCAACTAAAATTTGGCTACGCCCAATTAACAGCGCTTAGAAATGATTATCAGACAGATCAAATAATAAAGACTGTCATTTAAAAGACGACCGAGATTGAAAGGGTTGAGAAAACAACAACAAAAACAACAACAACAGAGCAACAGGTAATTACATGTAACTAGAAGTCTACAGTCAGTCTCTCACCTGACCCATGTTTACCAATCCAACAGCCAAAGTTTTGAACCCAAGGATGGTGCGATTCTTGTATTTCTTTCGTCTTTGAAGCATTACCTGAAGGTTGTTCCCAGCTCTCTTCAAAAAGTGCGGGTACTATACATGTACATGTAGGTAAAGTAAAATGAAAGAAATCAACCTAACCTGAAGTGTTCCCAGGGTGTGTGATACTACCTCTAAAAGTTACTTGACCAGAACAAAATTAATATTACAGTGGAACCCCACCTTACGGCCACCTTGGTAACACAGTCACCTCTTTATATATTATATTACGGCCAGTTTTTTTGGCCCAGCAAAATGGCCATACATTCCCTTATAAAAAACCCCCGTTAATGCAGTCACCCGTTAATATGGCCAATGGGCACAATCTAAAATCTAAATGATAGAATCTCTTATAATTTCACCCCGTTAATACTCAAAATGCCTGTAACTTGTCAATTTTATTGACCTTAGGTAATCTGAGCTTAACCTTGTACTGTTTTTAGACTACAGTACACTGAATTTTAAAAGAGTTTCATGTACTGAAGGAAGATTTTAAGTAGCTTTTTCAATTACTGTACGTGATATTTACATTCCAGATGTTTATTAATGAGAATAGTTGTTCAAAATTGGGGTGTACGGTGTATTTGCCATTACGGACCTCAAGTCATGAGATTTGAGCCTGCCACAGTAATACAGCCAAATTTTTTTGACTCATTGCTGATTGGTGGCCGTATTACCAAGGTTCGACTGAATGTATTTAAAAGAGGGTATGTATGTACTATCAACTGACCTGAAGTGAGAAGGACAAATCCAGTTCAGTGTCAATCAGACCCGAGGATGGAAGAACAATCTCATTGGATCTCAGAATCCTGCGAGAACTCTGTAATAAGGCAATAATATTATTATATGAAGAGAATTGTTTCTGAAATGATCAATTTTAATTTTTGTTTTTCCATGTCCATGTTTTATTCCTCGTGTATTCTTGCCATCCATAGGAACAAATGACATAAATACTGGTAAATAAAGTCTTAAAAAACAAAATGCGACCAATATTTTTGGAATTCACTTGATGCAAAGACGTGTTTTAACTTTTAACAAACAACATAAGGTAGCCCCTTTAAGGTGAAAGTGATCAAGTAAGTGACTAAATTATACTGAAGCAGAGTTCCTCTGCTTCCACACTGACCCAGATGGAATTCAATACTGTAAACTGCTGCTTATAAGCTGTCGGCTAAAAAACCTTCATAAGGAGGGCTTATCAACAGAGGGGCTTGTATCCAAAGGGGCTTATAACTGGAATAAGAAAATAATGCTTCAATGCAAGGCAAAGCTATATATTTAAGTGCTGATCAAAATTCATTTGAATCATATTATATTTACTGGTTTTCAATTAAGTTTCAATATGTAATAACTAATACGGAGCTTAAGCAACTATGATGATGACAACGACCACAACTTCAAAAAACAATAGATTTAATGATCAAAACAACAGCTCTGCACGTGCATCATGCTTTTAGTACATTTCTTTGATGTCCACTACACGACTACAATGTGAAGTTTACCTCCTAATTTCACATTTTATGGAGGACGTGGACATACGAAGATGAATTTTCCTTCCTCTTTTTGAACTTGAATAAAATCCTTAAGAATTCGACTCCAGGAAAAGCAACCTCATTCCCAGGGTTCTCTCCTCCCCCCCCGCCCTATGGGCGTAGTGCGGGTAGGAGAGACCCCTGGGAACGAGGTTGCAGGAAAAGTCGCCTGCCTTTGACATATTAACCCTTTAAGCCCCGATATCCACATACAAATTCTCCAAACTGATCTCCATACATTACCTTTAAGAATAAGTTGAGAGAATTTAATAAAACCATCAAGGCATTTTCTCTTTTGTGATCATTTTTTATATTCTTACAACCTTATCTCTTGACAATGTATGGACATTGTTAGGAGAAAATTGCTGTTGGTCACTATTGGGACTTAAAGGGTTAAGCGGGTCCAAATAAATGCGATTAAGTTTGAAAGAATGCAAATTCATTTTGTTTAAGCGACATTTTCACTGCCAACATTGTAGTCGTCGTTGCGTAAGGTCCCTAATAAACCAAATCAATATCAATGCCCAGTGTAAGTTAAAGGGGGGCTTAGATACCAATCAAGTGAATGCAAGCAGCCAGAATATTTACTCATTTACCTGCATGGAAACAGAAATTATCACTTCAGTCAGGCTTGGCTCTAGGGGCTTCAATAATTCCAGTCTCGTCAGTGTCATCGTGCAAAGTCTGAAAAACACAATCAGGTTTTAATTTTCTTGCTGGTAACCCGGCCCTCTAGGGGGAGGCAGGGGGGATATGCACGTCCCTTTAATAAGTCTGAATTTTAAAACACATTGTTTCAAGAAATAACGGTGCAAGCAAAGTCCCTGTCAGTGTTTTACCCTCACATTTGTACTTATCTTTGTCACTGTCGTAATTTCAACCCATCTTTGTGGTGTACGTCAAATGCTGAAATTTGACAAACAGGGCCTTGGATGTTTAATTTGAGGTCAATGCTGTGTTCTTAGAAAAAACTGTAGGGAACCCATTAATGCATTGAAACTATAAGATCCAGGGTGCCCAGCATAAGATTTTAAAGCAAAAAATACGATTTCGTACACATGAGCTTGCTCAAAAGCAAAGGCAAGGCACCAGGGACCACCAAGTGCTGCTATAGCACCACACAGTCCTAAGGGTGTATCTCCTTGTCATTCTGTACTGTTCTCAGCAATAAAAATTATCACAAGAAACCCAATAATAACCCAAGAAAATTTTGCCAAAAGATGTAAATATAATAATTTGGAGTCTCCTGTACTGGACTCTTCTTGTCTTAAAAAGGGGAAGATTAATTCTTTAAAGTTTAAATTTATATATATATGTTACAGGTCAAAATTAAATTCAGGTTAATTTTTTTTAACATAGGTTGATTCTCAATTACTTTCCTTTGTCTCCTAGCCCTAATTCATGAATAATTAGGGCTACAAGAAAAAGGAAAATAACTGAGAATCAACCTACAATCGACGACAAAATCATTGAGACATTATACTTCAGAGAACAAAAGGATCCACACCCCTTCCCTCTCCCCTCCATTCACAGCTGGGGTGTTTGTTGTTTTCCACAGGTAGCTCGAACAGTGGCACAACGTTGCCCGGAGGGGATGGGGGAGGAAAAGCTTTATTATCCCCATTTAAAGTCGCTAAAATGTCAAAAAGCCCCTTTCAGGCAGCGTCTCAACTGATTTTGTCGTCAATTGGTATAGGATTTAATGGAGCCGAAACCATTATAGTGGAATTGCACGCATTTTTGGCATCCTACTGATGAACAGTTGGGACACGTCGATACATTTTTTAGCAACTACTACAATTTGCTGTCTTTGAATTTGAATATGTTTAAAAAGCTTTAAACTTAAATTTAATTTTGACCTGTAACATATATAATTATACATATTTTTTACCTAAGTTGAAGATTTACAGCAGCCAGAGTTTTAGATATGAACATTAATCAATAAATTACCTCAGTGGGCAAAGTCACTACAGCTAAAATTTTTGTCTAAACCTTTTTGCTTCTCTGTATTTCACTTTTGCCATAATTATAATATTTAAATCAAAACAACATTTAATAGAAGCTTTTATTCCCGATAACAGCTTTCAGTTCTAGCCAGCACTCACTTTCAGTTCAAATTACAACTCCTGGTACACAAATTTTATGAAAAGCAAAATCCATGACATCCTCAGACATATCAAAATAAAATAAATAGTCATTTCAAAAATATATTTGAATTGCATGATGGAAACTGTAGTTTTTTTCCTGGATAAAAATTATTAAAAAACAAATTCTACAATATACCCAGCTCTGATAAAAAATGCATGGCTCAAACTACTAAGGTCTTGTTGTGGATCAGATCAATATTATTCATAATCAACTTTTCTTTTCTTTTGTTTTTGTATTGAGTTTAAAAAAGAAACATAAAATTCATTGTACTAAGGATAAAATTGAACCACAATACATACAATGTATAAAATGGTAATTTTAATCCTATCAGTCAAATACAAAATACTCTTTATGATAAAACAGCAAGCAAATGTAGTATTATTCCAAATAAAAGAGAAGGCTATAAAGTGTTTTTTGAACACCTGCTGGCTATATTGGTAAGTGCATGCAATATACATTAATGACAGTATCAAATCAATTTTTGGTTATTTTTAGCATCCAAAAATATAACATTAAATTTAAGAAAAAGTAACTTCAAGCTGATGAAGAAAACCATATGATTCTCAAGAAATGGGTCTGGAAAATGCACAGATGTAAACTTTATCATCCCACAAAAGCTTCCAAAGATAATTTATCGCCATATCTAGCAGTGCAAATAAAAAGCAAAATAAAAATTTCTGGAGACTTTCTTAAAAATTAAACACTCAAGTAAACAAAAAATTTGATCTTTTGTTTTGCAAGAATAGAAAGAAACCCCCCTGAGATTAGTTGAAAAAAGAAGATTTAAGCAATTAATAATTTCCTTTAATAAAATTGTGTCAGATGGTTTATCTTTTCTGGGTAAAAATAGAGGCTATTTTGCATACTATATTACAGATTTCACAGATTCATTTAATAGTTAGAATATCAAAAACACTGGGTTCAACAGCTACAAAAAGAAAATGCTTTCATTTTGCTTCAATAATTTTAAGAAACAAAAAGAAAATGCACGCAGCAAGAAAATGAAAAATTTGTAACAATGACAATGAAAGATATTAGGTTGAGTTATTTTAAAAATTTGAATAAACAATTAATATCAAAGTTTAGATCCTTTCCCCCAAGGCACGCATAAAAAACCCACTGATTCAAAAAGGGTTTATTAAGAAATAAGCACGTCGTTTCTCAGGAAATTCAAGTCTTGTAGAACGCCGTGAACGTTCTGAATTCAATTCAAAGGGTGTCAGTTGCATTCGACCAACAACAATAAAAAAATTTGCATTTCAGTCCGCACTTGAACCAAGTTCTATATTTGGCTCAGTTTTACAACCAAACACAGAGATTCACTGTGTTTGTGTATCAAAGCAAACTCAAGTCAAAAAGCCATAAAAATGATCGATATGAACCGAAGCTGACAAATAGACGTTTTCTCGCCAAATTCGATTGCATGCAGTCTGTTCTTTTGTTGTAGTACATTATGCGGATGTTTTAGGCACGATCAAAATCACATTTTGCTTGATCTGTGGGGTCGCTTGTGAATTTTAAGGCATAATTATTCCCCAATTATCGTTTTTCCACAGCAAAGAAAGTGCCCAATAAATTCAAAAATAAATAAATTCAACTAGAAAAGGATTAAAGTTCCGATATGCAACTGTCAATTGCTTCATTTTTCGCTGACAAAGCCTTCACTTCCGTTGCCATCTGCCTTGATTAAGAAATTAAGTTAAAACTGAAAATTCGCTGAGCAAAATTCCTAATCACAAGGGAAAATTATAAGACAAAGATTCTCCTGTGTGTAACGCGAAAACACGTGTTCCAGGCTAGGATAGAGGAGTTCAGTGTGAATAGTTTCGCCTGACAATTCAAATAAAGTGAGATTGAATTTGCTTTCGATGGCCACAGTTAAATAATAACAGCATTAACCAATACAACGATCTTACAGCGAGTTACAGCTGAACAGCAACCAACTGTAGAACGTTTAAACTAAGAAAGACAAAACTTGGAAGGGAATGTTCGAGGCATCACTGTCAATCAAACAACTCGCTCAGTATCGATCTGCCCGCGATATTTGTGAAAGTCTCGTACGACGCAAAACAAACGAAAATGCGTTTGAGACAAACTCACCGCGGCACACAATTTGGCGATGTCCTCTCCACTTCCCAAGTAGCAAATAATTTCATTGGAACAGGCCTTTGGGGTGTACAAGAAGCCGAAACATCCCGGCGTATTCCTGAATCCGCCATGTTGAGTTGATCTCATTTTGTTTTGGTGAAGTACGCTTGCGCATTGGCTGGTAGCTAACTTCCGGTGATCAGCAACAACTGAATGCCAATCATCGGCAATTTTAGATGGTGACTTGTCCTGACAGGGTGGTCTAGGAATAAGCGTAACAAGCCAAAGAATCACGTCCAGAGGGTCTCTGAATATTACCAGTGAGTACACTCTTTTTTTTCTATAAGAATATATTTTATAAGAATATCGAGGCTGAAATTTTAAGAATATTTTAAGAATAAACCCCAGGCTGAGGTTTTGAAAAGGATGTAATTTTGTGTGTTCAAAAACTGTAAATACCACACAATTATGTTTTCAACTTCTTCCATCCTCTGAACGGCAGAACTTGCCAACAAGGCGCAAAAACCTGCACTAACTATACTTGATACCCCAATATATTCTAAAACGGAAATGTCATAAGCTATAATTTAAGAATAATACAAGAATATTTTCAGCCTAAAATCGGCAAAAAAATAAGAATATTCAGCCTGGGCCGGAAAAACAACATTCTTACATAAAAAAAAGAGTGTAGTCCAGTGCGCTTGCAATCTTGGTTACCTTTTATTTACCTTGTGCAGGATTATTGGCGAATTCGTTCCCATAAAATCCTTTTAATTCCGGGCCGGTAGATTTCCTTTGTGCAAGTCCCATTATTTTATTTTACTTTATTTCTTCATTTCACTTTATTGCGACATTCGTCACGCAATATGTATTGTAGCCTGTGCCAGGCTCCTCAGATCATAGATAGTATTTAGTGGAGACGTACGGGTTATGGGCTTCTGAGTATGTTTATTTTGCAACAAAACAATAAACGGTAATAACAAAACTCAAAGATGTAACAAGGCAAGGTTCCTGTAAAATACTTTGAAGAAAACTCCGTCTTCGGGGAAGTCTCTTATTAGTACTTATTCAATTTTGGGGGGGTGAAGTGGGGGTGGTTGCTTATTTGAGTTTGAGTGGGAGTGGGAGGGAGGTGGGGTGGGGTGGGGTGGGCGCTTATTCGAGGCTGGGCGCTTATTAACTTTTTCTGCCTTTAGGATGGGCGCTTATTCGAGGTGGGCGCTAATTTGAGGTTGGGCGCTTATTCGAATAAATACGGTATAAACGAGCAAAGCGAAAATAAGACGCGCGCGACTTGGCAGAGGGGGCGGTGGCGGCGGAAAAAATGTAGCCTGCGTAGCATGGCGGTTTTGGTTGGGCGCGCTAAGTAATAAAGGCGGGCGAGGGCAGAGAAACCGCGAGGAGATTGGGGTGGAAGCAACTTGAAAAACCGCCTGCAAGGACGGGGGGCTTTTTTGAGTCGGTCCGCACGCCAGCGTACGGATCGTTCCGATTGGTTCGGAATGTTCGCCTGTCAATCAAATATTTTGGTAATCTCCCATGGGAGAGTTTCGAGGGACTGAACAAATCATCTCCGCAAAACAAAATCAAAATACATCAAAGAAGCGTTGACCGGAGCGTCGTCGATCTTCAATATTTGACGGGAAAACGGGCAATTGTATTGAAGCCTAAACAGGAAATGGAAATGATGTCATGGAAATTTTGTCAACAAGATTTGGCAAGAGCATGATCTTTACTGTCTTTGCTATGGCCCAAGAAGAAATATCCTCATCGAAAACCTGTATGATCACAATTTCCCCTCTAAAAAGTACTATCGACGACCAGATATCTGAAATGTCAGTGTCGCTGACCTCTAAAGCAATGGACCTTATGACAGAAACAGCAAATTTCAGTGCTTCACCTCAATTTTCTCTATTACTCGGTGTTAGAGAATAACGCACTCCAGCGCAATACATCGAACGGTGTCCGCGATTGTGGTCGATGAATCGCATACGGTAGAAGAAAGACGCACGCTTAAGCAACAACTCAAATCTGAAGATCGCGCTATACGTAAAAATACAACATCCTGCAAACAACACTCAAAAAGCCGGGCCCAACGACAAAACATTCACGGACAAAGCAGTGACAAAGAAACTACAAACCAAGGCTCCTTGGTTTGTAGTTGTCCAGATCCAGGCATTTTAGTCGGAAAAGACCAAACAAACTAAAATATTTATTTAGCCGTAATAAAAGGCTTTAGGCTTTAAGAGTGGTCAAAGAAATTAGTACTTTACAACTGCATCTGAGATCAACAAATTCTAATTAGCGAAAATAACATTAACCACAGGAAATAATTACTCAATACGGATTAAACAAACCAACTCCATGACCTCTAAATAAATGTAAGACTTAGTGCAGCAAAAATAAGATCTACTCAGTCAAGTTTAGAACGCAGTGTAGTCACCTATGCGCGAGATAACCACAAAGAAAAAACCTGTGTTTGTTCAAGCAAACTCCAATTCCGGCCAAGGTCACGTTTTACACTTTTACACAAAATCACGAGCTTTTGTGTCGTGTTTAGGCTGTCAAGACTTTATTTCTGATTGGCTGGGAAAACTGAAACCAAACAAGTTGTCAACAGGATGTCAAAATGAGTTGAAGGGGGCGGCAGTTGAAAAGGCCACGAATCCGGGCAGGCGGTTTTTATTTTTCTAGCGGCTTCGCCGCTCGTTCTCGCGCGCTTCGCGCGCGAATTTCGCGGCTACGCCGCTCCTGCGCCCGGCTCGACAAAACCGCCATGCTACGCAGGCTAGAAAAAATGTCGCCGCCCCGTCTCTCCCCATCCCCCGCGCGTTTTCTCATTATCTTAACCTGAGATCAGGCTCTATTTTCGTTTCGCTTTGAAAATTATATTCCGGCGGGCATGGCGAAACGAAAAGAGAGCCCAATTTTAGCGCTGGCCGTTAGAGAGAATGTATGAGAACCGCTAAAATTGGGCCTGATCTCAGGTTACCACTATCTCGGAGCCTGGAACAGGCTATATGTATTGTTAGGAGTTGACCCACCAACGCCTGCAGATGAACAGCTATAAAAAAAGTTTCATTGTGTTTTTTAAAAGAGCCGTAAACTTAAAAAATGATTGTCTAATTTCCGAGCATCCTTTGAGTAGATTATAGCTTACAGCTACGGAAACTTTTAGCAAACCAAATGTGTCCGGTCGAACTTGAAATTCGAGGACATGGAGTGAGTAGCTGTATTCTAGTGGACGTTTTGTTTTATCGAAATTTTCAAGGGACCTTTCCATCGCAATGTCTTAGCAAAGCATTAATTTGTCTCAATCGATGACAGTCTACTCCTGGGTAAACGTACACTTCTTGTTTGCGGATAGCTACATCAGCGCATATGGTCTTACAGCTGATGTCCTGCCGGGGTAGCAAACACGAGAGTTAAAGTTCATGGGATATGTACTAGTTACAGAGACGTTAAAGTTGGTGTACCTCAGGGTTCCCTTTAACATTTTTTTCTAAGTCTCTACAATTTCTTCGTTTTGCCACATTTAGAATATTGCAGTCCCCTTTCATTGGGTGTTGGCAAAGTGCAAGTCGTATTGAGGACCATAACTATTACATTAATTTTGAAATCTATTTTAGGTTACGGTAAAACCATCTCATATGAAGAATTACTCGGCCGGGATTGTGAACATGAAAACTCTAGAACATAGGAAAATATGCAGTTTGCTTTTGTTATTTTATAAATCTTTATTCTGTAACGGACCTAAGTACATGCCTGATTTTTAAAATTTTTAGTTTTAAAGACTCAACGACTTAAGAGGTAGTAGTGTTAATCATAGTATGCCAAGCTTTAACCTTAACTGCCGGATGAAGAATTCTTTCACTTACCAAGCCGCTAAAATCCTGGAATTCACTTGAACCCGATCTAAGGAAAGGAAACCTGTCCAAGTTTGGGATGTCGATTAAGAATAAATCATGTTAATTTCATTTTCAATCTTGAACGAAATTTTTAGCGAGCTAGACGTTACGTGAATAAATTAACGATTGATTAATTGATTGAAACAAAATGCGAAAAAAAAAAAACAACCTCCGAAAATCGTGAGTGGCGATGGCCTGAGTATCGGGCCTTCCTAGGCTAGGGTGGCGAGAAAACTCTGAATCAGATATTTTCGGAAGAATGGAACTGTGGCCGTTATCCAGAATGTTTTATAGCCTTTGTTAAGCTTTAAAATTTTCTTGGCAATGTTTGCTCTTCCGAACAGTTATTTTACAGAAAAGGTCGTTTGGTCTACCCATCCATCCTGCCAGTTGCCCTGCCTCGTTCCCAGGCTTCTCAAGTGTTTGGGAGAACACGAGACTGCGAGCGATCAAGGAGTATCGCACAACGGGCCATGACAACGTTAAGTGTTGGGGCAAAGTTCGCTGGGAAGACTGGGCGTTTTTGTCTTTGCCTTTCCCACCTTTCTTTGCGCGGAACCAAAATCGCTCCATCCGCTCCCGATTACGAATCAGCGAGACGGCGCCTGGCTACGAGGCAGCCAGTTGCTTTGGAATACTTGAACAAACGGTCAGCACTGTAAAATGTTAAAACATCTGTTAAAACTTCTGTCGAAAGACCCTTGAACACCTCGTGAAGTTTACACCACTTAGTATTCCTTATCGTTTTGGATTAGGGTTAAGCACTGCGTTTTACAGATTAGGGTTAAGCCCTGCCTTTGCTAATTAGGGTTAAGCACTGCCTTTACTGATTAGGGTTAAGCAATGTTTCGAAACTGGTTAGGTTCTTTTGTTGGGTTGGGGTTGATGTTATGTGTACTTTAATTATTACCCTGCCACCCAACAAATCCTCAGAGGTCTAGTGGTTAGGGTGGTGAAGTGGCCATTTAGGTGATGGGTTCGAATCCTCTTGCCCTTCTTGTCTATTTTTTTTTTCTTTTAAATTGAAGAGACTTGCACTTTCATAAATGATTTCCAGCCTGAAATATCATCTAAGTGTGATATAAAAGCAGAAAACAGATCTACCTTGTGTAAAAATCATAAGGGGAGAAAGGGCCTTTCGGCGGATGTTAACGAGTGCTTCCCTGATGACAAAACACTGCCAGGTGATCAACAATTTCATCAATAGTTTCCCAAGTCAATTAAACTGTGTTATTTTTTTTAATTAAGGTGGTTTTGGTCTTAATTGTGTCAGGCGACAGGAAGGTGCAAAATGTAGTCAAATATTAAGACAGCGTTTGTAGTAAACAAAACCTATTAATTTTGACAATGTAAATTTTTTTTTGTCGTTGTGAGTGAATTGTATTCAATTCAGTCCTATTCGGCTTTTTAAAGGTAAATCGGTAGCCTTTTTCTTGGTTGTATCGGAGTCGATTCACTCCCGAGGGAAAAGAAATGACTATTCTTGCAGTATATGTTCTGTTCATTACTTCGTTATTTTGTTCAGGTGAGTTTTTAAACCTCTGAGAAATCTTAAAAATGTTTATCTGCTCCATGAATGCTTCAGTCTCCCGAATCAAAACAAGCTACCAAAAATAAAGGCGGTGAAGCTTTGTCCTTCTTAGCTCTTGGTTAAATTTGGAAGGAAGCTTTAGTTTATAGAAAGGATTCGATAGGGAAAATGTAGCAAATTATGTGTTGCTTATCATGAAATAAGCTGCATTTTTTGATTGAAACCGAATAGTTTATTTTGCTTTCTCATTATTAATTGCACTTTCAGCCCAAAATACTAAACAGCTTCAGGCACAACTAGCATGCAACGGGGAATTATCCTTTCACGATCAAGAAAAAATCTTGCTCTTCATCGAAAATCCAACAAATATTTCATCAAATTACACCCTCTATCCAAGAAACGAAGTTTTAGCCGTTAGGTGCCGTAATTCCAAAAGCAAGCCGTGGATCATAGGAAGCGTAAGCAATGGTATTGTTACCGATACACGATGGAAATGCACAGGTCTTGCGAAAAGGGAGCCCCTAAATTTTAAGTGGTGGCAAGACAGGGCAGATGATAGCAACTGGGCCCAGGCTGTGGCCAATTTTTCCAACCGAGGAGATAGTCCATGGCGAAAGGTGCGGGATATTTCTGAAGATGCGTTCTGGATTTCAACTGCTAACGAAGATGATGTGAGGATATTTTGCAGGCGCAGATTGTCTGACGTTTTCCTGAAACGGACAAGCTTCTCAAAGGGTATGAAATGTCTTAAAAGTAAAGTGCCAAATTTTGCTAAACATGGAAATCAGTTTCCTAGTACAAATTGGCAGCCGACGTAATGACTGTCTTGCAAGGCATTTTTCAGTCACCAATCATTTGGAAGTGACTTCATCGATGGAAAGATTCATCGTGTGAAGAATATTTTCCATTTGACAGAAATTCTTCGTTCCCCTTTCTCCTCAAAATTCAGTACGGTGCCCCAGATATCGCCATACCTGGATCTGGTGAATCCTTGTGAAGACTTCTAAATGTAAACGTTTTCCAGCAGGAAAAATGGACTACCTTTCCAAAGTTCCACTCCCGCAGTGAAACGCCTGAAAACGTGTTCCATTTATATCCCAACCTAAATTTCTGGAATATCTACAATCGGCAAAATTGTTGAGACACTGTACTCAAATAGGGTAACTTCAGAGAACAGAAGGATCCACACACGCGATTAAGTGTGTCATTCTATGTGTGTGTGAAAAATCCTCGGAGCAGCTCTATTTCAGTTAACAATTGAAATCAAAAGAATTTCACTTCAATGATGGTACTTGGAAGGGCAACTTAATTACCAAAAAAACGATATCCAACGGATTGGTTATTAATGTTGACTTATTGCTCACTAAAATCACTGAAAAGGATATTTCATAAAGAGTTTGCTCATCGTTTTGTTTTGGTTCAATTGTTTGATCTACGACTTGGAACTATTTTCTAATTTTTACGGCCAATACTTTCATTGGCATAACAATAAGTACTTCTCATTACAGGTATCTTCCAAACAACACTAGAAGGCGTCGACTATGCTCTTTCCAGCCATCCTCGCTCTGAACACGAGGTCAATGATGTCATGCATTGTTACAAGAAGTGCCAAGATGACCCCAAGTGCCTCTCGTTCAACTTTGAATACACTTCAAGTTTACCTTTAAAAAACTGTGAGCTGAATGGCGTCACCAAACGTCAAGATCCTAACAATTACGTCAAGAGGCCTGGGTACATATATTATGAGAATGTAGAATACTGAACTATTGAAGTAAACCGTGAACCTTTGTGACTATCTTAGAGACTGGGTCAGCTCCGGTCAATTTCGAATAACTGTTTGGCAACAGTCCAGTTTGGAATTCGTCGCGGCCGCCGAATAGAAGCACTGAAGACTCCCTTATACAACTTGACTGCTTAAATGAACTTTTCGCTGAATGTGATGTGGTGGTGCATGTGTGCGTGTGTTGTCAGATGAACTTTTACTGAGTACATGTCCTTGTTTCTTGCTTGTACATTTCCTTGTTTGGTAATGAAGGAAAAATATCAGGAAAAATATCAGTGTAAACACAGTGTTATCAGAGTAAACACGCACATCACTGCAACATTGCTATTGTTATCGACAACAATAGGTTATCAGCTGATACAACAAATCGTTTTGAGTTAAAAATCCTTTAAATGAGACTTGTTCAGCTTTCGAAATGGCTTCATCGATGGGTAAAATGTCCCTAAAATAAAAAAATAGTAGCTTTTTCAAAATCGAGATTTTTGTTCATCATAATTGCATATTTCTCAGGTAAGGGTATATGCCCTCCAGATGTAGAACCTACTCTGATATAGACTGAGTTGCCACAACTTTTTCAAATTAATTCACCAGAGTGGTCTGTGTATATTGCAAGGATTTGTCAGTGGTAGCTGCATCAGGAGAAGCGACCGAGTACATAGTGACATTGAATGTTCATTTTGTACCAGTCTAACTGATCTAACGTTCCGTAAGTCCATTAAGCACGGCTATCGTGCCAGTATATTGGTTTTTTGGTATAGAAGGGTTAACAAAAGGTCTGGATGCAAGGTGGGCTCGGAACAATTTAGCTTGAAAGAATTGAAATATCACTGAGTTACAGTACTGATATTGATACTGCTTATTCTCGGTTTGGGTAAACTGTCTATAAAGCAAAATGGGTATGAACCTATAAATCATACGCATAGGTTTTACTCAATATTTTCTGGTATATAATCATTGTATATAAAGAGCTTTAATTATGGCTAGCGTGTGGAAGCAAATGAATTTTTTCGGCAGAGGACTTGATATAAATGGTTATCTTTTTATCGAAGTATATATATAGCTAGTGTTCATGTCACTCCTGGCTTTAGCTGAATGAAAAAGAACTAAGAAGATAGGCTAGATGTTTCCTTTTATTGCCATTAGCTCTTTAAAAAGACGCTCTTTGTCTTTTACGTCGTTTGTGAGGCGAATCTGCCGTCACCGTAGAATAACGTGTCTCTAGCTATACTGAGGTTATTCCTCGGGCGTTTTCCATTCCTGATCAGAGTAGGTTTTTCAACGAAGTCGTCGCACACCACAATTTATTTGCTAGCACTACTAGCAAGCTGGAGCAAACAAGACTTTCACGACGGAAATGAGAAAAAATTACAGCTGCAGCTTCACTTAAAAAATGCAAAAGTAAAAAAGATTAAAAACGAAGCGTCAGACGCTTTGCCTTTTCCATCGTCAATAAACACATGAGCCACATAATCACTTCCTTTATATAGAGGCGGCTACCCAATCTACAGGTGGTAAATAATCGCAAAATAGAAAGGCAGAAGAAATTTCTTTTTCAGAGGCTATAGAAAGAAAGTGACAAAATTTTACTTGCCCTGAAAACTGCGGGGCACCATGCACTGAGCTTTAAAGCAAAGCGAAGCAAGCTTCCTTCAGATTTTCGTAGTTAAATTTAAAAGAGCTTTTAATTTACCGTAGAAGGAAAACTCTAAAAAATGAAGATGAAAGGCGTCAAATCCGTTTTTTTTTAAAAATTTCGAATGTACAAAAAAAGTGAGGATGATCAGTGTGATTGAGTTTTTCACTGGAAGAAATTAAAGCTTGGGTCATTAATTGACATGTCCTTTGGTTCATTGTATGGGCTAGTTGCAATTCGCTTAATGACTCATTACTATTAATAATATATAATCCGAACACGCCAGCGGCAGACAGCATTAAAAATCAATTAACACATTTATTATTTATTATTTTCCCACAATAAAGATTACACAAGCATTACATTATACAAAGATGTGGCGAGGGGACCTCAGAAAACCACAAGGCTTGTACGAGGAGGCCCCCTCGTTACAATAATATTAAGCAATAGAACTATAACAACACACAACAACGGACAGTACAAGACGCATTATCGATATAGTAGAAAATCAAAAACTTTCGTTTTAAACGATTGCAATGTAAAAATCGAAGTGACTGAGTTTGGTAAAGAATTCCAAATTTTAGGGCCTTGGAACAAAATAGAAAATTGTTTGGTGTTAGTTCGGCAGGCATGAGAACGGAAATGCGAGGAACTTCTAGTATTATAATTATGAATATTGCTACTAGTAACAAAAAGGTTCGAAAAAAGCGGTGGCAGTAATTGATGATAATATGAAATACATACATTACAAGCAAAAGCTGCGAGACAATTAATCTCTCGCAAATTCCTTTCAATCATCTTTTCTTAGCCTTCAAAAAAAATGATTCAAGGAAGAAACATTGACTCAGTTTAGAAAATGTGTGAGAATTTTACGTCATGAAGAATAATTTTTTTCTTTCTTTATATCTGAGCAAAGTAATCCTGTTGCTTTGTTAAACTGTGGAGTTTAATTATTCGCATGAAAATATATCGTAATTAAGGTTTAGAGTATGTAACAACGATGACAGTACCCATAACAGTGTGCCAATAAAGAGTTGCAAGTGTTAACTTACAGAAAATGATGTTTTTTACACGCCTTCCTCATTTATGCGTTCTGTGTTTTTAAATGGATTGGTTTGACTTAAAGATCTCCAACTAAACCTAAAACTACATAAAAAAGCCTTTTTGTCCTTATAAATGAACGAATTCCCCGTTTTCAATTGCTAACGCCTTCCCTCATAGCTATAATTAACAATCAGTCCCTAGTTTATACTTATTACGGACCTACATTCACCGCACACATACCGCCACAACAACGCTTTCAATGGCAAGGCAATATCGCTTCTGTAAACTCTCTGATCACATATTTATTTTATAATAAAAATAACAATACTGTCTGGTAATAAATACTTTGAAAATACAAAACATATTGGATCTTATTTTCCTCGGTTTGTTTGCTTTTCACGTTTCAGCTACAGTAACAACACAACTGCAGGTAAATATTACGTGTGACGGAAAAATGACTGTTTACGGTGGCAAGAAGCATTCAACAAACAACGTTTCCACAAATTACATTATCACTCCAGGAAAGGAGATTTTGGCCGTGAGGTGTAAAAGCTCTAAAAGCAAGCCATGGATTCTAGCGAGTGTTAGTAACGGAATGATCACAGATCCGCTATGGAAATGTTTCAGTTTAAGAAATGAGATCTTCAATGGAAACCCTTGGACAAAACCCAAGTTTAACGATAGCCATTGGGCCCAGGCCGTTGCCGGGTTCTCAAATCGAGGAGAAAACCCATTGGGAAAAGTCCTGGACATTAAAGATGAAGCCCTCTGGATATCAACCGCTGAAGATAACCCGAAGTTGTTTTGCAGGCGTAATCTGTCTGATAAAGCGACATTACCCTTAACTGCCATCCGACAAGATATCTCAAGGGGTATGCCTGAATATATTTGATAGTCTTTAAAAGATTTATTTTTATATAAAACACATTTTTCAAATCTATTTCGATGTTTCTTTATTGCTCTCTCTAGCTACTTCTTTATAGTTTTATTACCCACATTATCTTGTTTGTTTGCTACGGAATTGTGGCTGGCTAATTTTCTAGGAGAGGGAGAAATTCAATCCCCAAAGAGTAGTATGACTGTGAATAACGAAAACGGTAGTAGAATTTTTCCCCAAAATGTTGGTAGGGTTCGTGTATAATTCTGACAGGATTGGTCTGTGCAACTATCCTTCCTAAACTCGCGTCTTACAGAGAAATGGGTTCAGAAACCCGCGGGTTCACGAAACCACCCGTCTCCATAGGCATAAGAGTGATTCCTTCTCTGTAAGTTGAGTCTCTCCAATCTCACTGTTACAAGGAAGCCGATCGGTAATTGTTGTTGTTACAGCGTGAACTTTTATGACCATCTAACTAACCAGTAGCTTACACTGAAAAACATTTTCATGAATGCTAATATTCATCGAACCAAAAAGCGTTGCCAATAAGGTGAATAGCGTTATCCACCGAATAAAAATCTATTCAGTGGATAAAGCAGTTGGTTTCCCTAATACTTATACGGTAGATATAGAGAATATTACACGGTGGCGAGAAGATATGAATTTTATGTTCGAGTGGCAAGAACAATATCTCTCGAGTGAGCGCAGCGAACGAGTGGGATATTGCTCTTGCCACGAGAACATAAAATTCATATCTTCGAGCTAACGTGTAATATTCTTTTTATTATATAAACATACTGATGACGGCGTTTTTGATGATTTTCCGAAGATTTCCGACCACCTTCCGAAGATTTCCGAAGATTTTCAAATTGTCCCGAAGACCAGACGAACGTTCCCGAACATTTTCCGCGAATTTCCGAAGATGTCCGAAGATTGCCGAGCACTTTCGAGGAAGACCCGAAGATGTTTCGATGATACACCAACGAATTTAAGTACAATTTAAGAGACAAACCTGATGTCAGTGAAATTATCGATATCTTCACATGTAAAAATATCGTATTTTTACGTGTGTTCAGATACCACATTTCTCGGTGGTAGAAATCCTTGTAAAACACTGCAGTTTATATAATAAAGTGATTTATCCAGTGGACAGCGCTTCCAACGTTTGAACAACCAGGCCCAGTAAGTTAGCGTTTTAGACGACTGTGCCCGTATGGTTTGAGTTAGTAAAATGTTACTCAGGACCAGTTCTGAAATTATGTGACTGAAGCAGAGCACAACCACTTGTAGATGAAGCAGCGGCAGCAAGTGCCCAACCCACACAATTTGTTTTTACTTTAATTTAGCTCAACATTGCATTCTAGAATTCATTATGTGCCATTGATCAACAGATACTTTTCAGACCAAACTCGATGGAGTAGACTACGCACTCCTCGGCCAGCCTCTTTCTCAACACCATGTCAGTGACGTCATAGAGTGTTTTAGGAAATGCCGCGATGACTCTCAGTGCCTCTCTTTCAACTTTGAGTACCAGTCAGTATTACCCACAAGGAGGTGCGAGCTTCATGCCATTACCAAAAACCAGGATCCCAAGAATTACGTCACGAGGCCTGGCTACACATATTATGAGTCATAAGGGTGAAATCAAGGAACTTTTTCTTATAAAGTCGAGCTTTCCTTAAGCGACCACCTAAAATGCGAAGATTTAGGGCCACTTAGGGGAAGTGGTCTCTTACTAGAATCGACAAACGGGGGCCTCTTCTGAGAAGAGGTCCCGATGCATCTAATTTTTGGAAGATAGTTTGTTACACGCAATTTCTGATTTACGTATAGAATGCTGTCTTTTACTCTGAACGGCGTGGTACATATATACAACCAACAGAGACCACCTTGCATCAATTGATCGCTTGGAAAAACTCTAAGCGAACATATTTTACGTCATCAATGCGCCGTTTTAAGGGTATTTCAAGCTAGTCAAAGCTACACAGAAAGGAGTAATGTTGAAACAAGGATGTGATGTTACTGGGGATCGAACTCGAGACTTCGCGCTCCGAAGGCCGCGCACTAACCAACTGTGCTACCCTTGCTCCTGGTGGTCGCACATGGACCTTTGACTCAATTTAATTACGCCGCACCAGTACTTCCTATCCTGATTGATTTGAAGATTTTGGGGCAGAGTTTTCCTGTACAAATCTTTGTTGGTTACTCCCTTTGGAGAGTAGACTGCAAAACAGTCGGTTTTTTCTCAAAATCAGTAAAGAAATCGGTAAAGCGTGGCGTAAGAGTCTTAAGCGCGCGAAGCGCGCGAGGCTCACACGCCCGTAGGGAGTGAGAAAATTTATAGCGTCTCTCCCCAGTCTCGCTCTCTGTTTTCAGCTTCGTTCCAGAGTTCCAGACCTTTTGTTTGACTGCTCGCGAGTACTTGAATACGCAAAAATACGAACTGTTTTGCAGTCTATTTGGAGAGTAACCTACTCTAAGGGTTGGTAATCATCACCTAGAATTAAGCCACTTCATCTCCAAGCCAACAAGAACTTATGAAACTTAAAATAAAAATATGCTTAAATGAGTGCTTCACTGCATCTGTTGTGATGGTAATCCAGGAAATATCAAAGTAAACTCAGACTTAATTAGATGCCACTGTTATAGACGTCAAAAGGTTATCAGCTGAGACAACAAGTCTTTTAAAGTTAAAGATTGTTATGATGAGACTTATTCAGCGTTTGGTATGGCCTCATCGATCAGAGAAATTTACCCAGACTGAGTTAGCCCGCAGTGCAGAAGTATTTTGGGTGGGCGAAACCTTGTTCGTGTTCGTAATATTGTTGTAGTTGCCATCTTTGATTTTATGACGTACAGTGGAAGATTGGGGAGAGTCAGAAATAGTAACCCTCTGCGAGGGCGAAAGAAGGAAAGGACTCGCCCCATCTCCTCCTCTCTTCGGAAAGTTTCAACATGGCACTTTCGCGAGCAAATTGCGTGCTCAAAGAAAACGCCTGCACTGCAGGCTAAGACTGAGTTACAATGGCTATTTTTAGTGCGATATATTCTGACTAGTCTTCATTCTGAATTTCATATCAGTCCTTAGCAATCTACATGTAACATGCTATTATCAGAAGAATCACCTATGTGTCATTTCCTTGACAACAGAAAATAAATGAAATTCAGAGTAGTCATTTGTAGTAAGAGCAAAAAAATATCTACTGAAACTTGAGTACCGCATGGATTTTTAGCAAGGCAAACTGTAAGCGACTACACTTCATCTATACTGTCGTAGCTCAATAAAGACAGTTTTTATTCACCGGTAAATGGGAGACGAGAGCTGTCAAAAGATTTTATTTATAGCTAGAATGCAAAAATTAAGGTGGTATAATTATTACGGTGGTATAATTATACTGGATGATTTTACTCGACAAATTAAAAATGAAAGCGGGAATGCTTTGTTCATATTGTGCGAGCCTCTTTCTGTTCGCTAAAGGATTCATTACTATGATATCTTGATCCAACAGGCAACAGAGTGAAAACAATAAAAATGGATTAAAAGGGAATTTGAGGATCTACAGCGAGACAATCAATTTTAATTTCTTAAAAATTCCTTTTGAAACACTTTTGCCTACTTTTCAAGGGAGAAACATCGACTTGGTCTAGCTCAGTAATGATGCAGAATTTTACGTCCCATTTTTTTAACATATCATGGTTGTCAATTCTTACGGTAAGCTAAGAATTCCTGACGAAAATTTATAATGATTAAGTTTAATCTATAGTGACTTAGTTCCCGGAGTGTTTTCCCGCTTCGCTTCGGTACATGTAAATTCTTTTCCTCCATCTTTATGTAGAAAAAAAAAACATCTCAAGCTGAATAGAGGCCCCTACTTTCTCCTCTTCGAAATGACTGAAACAAATTTTTCAGGGTGTGTACCCTAACATTGCGTAGATTAATTCTCTCTAGTGTACTGAAAATAGCGGCCCGCTTTACCTTTTATTTCCTTAGCTTTTTAATTATTTATATTTTAAAGATATTTATTTCCTTTTCTTGCGCAGTTTTAAGATGGTAGGGGGTTGATAGTTTCAATAAACAAGACTCGGAAGGCCGGCTTAAAACAGTAGCGCTAGCTTAATAGCAGATGGTTAAATTTTAGTGAGTGAATCAAGTTAGTTATTTTGAAGTGTGACTACTCTCTCTTTTGTAAAAGCAAAACCTCCAGTAGCTATCTGAAACTCGTCTTGTTTGGTGAGGTCGATATATTTGAAATGGCTAGCACGCCGGCTTAAGCAAAGATTCTGTTATTAGAATATATATAATATATTATGGCGCACTTACATTGTAATCCAACTTTTTCGCTATTGTGGAATCTCTATTCATGTTTTTTTTCGATACTTTTTGCTAAAAAATACTTGAAAATGCGCAACTAATCGGATTGTTTCTTTGTTTGTTTGTATTTGTCATGTTTCAGCTAAAATCACTAAACAACTTCAAGTAAAAATTACTTGTGACACATTAATGACTGTTTACAGTGGCAGGCTTCAACCGGAGCATTCAACAAAAAACGTTTGTGCAAATTATACTGTCACGCCCGGAAATGAGATTTTGGCCGTGCGGTGTCGTAACTTTAACAGCAAGCCATGGATTTTGTGAGTTTCAGCGATGGAATGATTACAGATCCTCGATGGAAATGTTTCAGTTTTCCAAAAGATGAGCACTTTAACGGAAACCCATGGACTAATCCCGAGTTCAATGATAACCATTGGGCCCAGGCCGTCGCGGGGTTCTCAAACCGGGGAGAAAATCCAGTAGGAAAAGTCATGGGCATTAATGATGACGCTCTTTGGATATCAACGGCTGAAGATAACCCGAGGTTGTTTTGCAGGCGTAATCTGTCTGATGACGCCACATTATCCTTAACATCCATCCAAGATATCTCGAGTGGTATGTCTGAATACATTTGATAGCCACTACATCACCTAAATTGTTCAGTATAGAGTCGCTGGTGGTAATTGGGTAGAAATGGCACCAATGTTAACCACTCAATTAGCCTAATTTAGATCGCTGTTAAGCAAGAGAGAAGCTCATTCTCTCGTGGCGTTGAGTACTATTAAGTTATTTGGACGATACATTCAACAGATACTTTTCAGACCAAACTCGGAGGTGTAGACTACGCCCTCCTTGGCCAGCCTCTTTCTCAACACCATGTAGTGACGTCATAGAGAGTTTTAGGAAGTGCCGCGATGACTCTCAGTGCCTCTCTTTCAACTTTGAGTACACTTCAGGATCACACGCAAGGAACTGCGAGCTTCATGCCATTACCAAAAACCAGGGTCCTAAGGATTACGTCATAAGGCCTGGCTACACATATTATGAGTCAGAAAAATGAAAGCATATTTCCCTTTATTCACGCCGCTCTTAGAAACTAGAATGCTTTTATCACCTTGTTGCTGCAGCTGCCGCCGTTTTTGTTCTTCCAGATATCGTCTTTTTTTTTACAGCGCAGACCACACAGTGTGCATATTAAAATACAAGCAAGAGACTCCTGTTGAATAGACTCGTGTCCGGCTATTTGAATTTTGAAATTTGAGGGAATACGCGAGCCTGAGTACGATCATTATGCGGCTGGTACGTTTCTCGCCTCCCCTCTAGTTAACCTTCGCTTTAAATTGAAGGAGAAAATGAAAGATTCGAGACGAAGAGATTTGTGACAGAAACCGTGATGTTTTAATGGCCATTAGTTAATCAGTCTTATAACTGTCAAATCCTACCCTCATTAAATGAAGCCTTGTTGGTTACTTACTCAGTGGTGGTTTGGAATGATTAATCAATTCTTTGGCATGCAGTATAGTAACGCAATATAAAACCGCTTTCCTCCACTACAATCTTAATAGACTTTCAAGAAAGTCCTTTGTCCGATCGTTCGGCCGCTTTGCGGACTAAGGGCCTGTTTACATGGAGTGGGGGACCCCGGTCTAGTGGGGTAAGTTTCTTTTGTTTTCACGCTCTGGGGGACACAAAACAAAAGAAACTTACCCCACTAGACCGGGGTCCCCCACTCCATGTAAACAGGGTCTAAAAGGCTCTCTCAGCTCGCCTAAACTCATGAGGTCCACTCATGCAAGTCTACTTAAAACGGAGTCCCATTAAAAACTTACAAGATTTCTTGTTAAGGTTATGACAGTGTAATCTCTATATAACGAAGTCCTCAGTTCAACTGATAAACGGAAGATATAAACGGAAGATATTCTTTGCCTCCGTGGTAGTAAAACATGTGGAAAAGAACCTCGATATAACTTTAGTATTCAGGTTTTAATTAACAAATAAATGAAATTTTTCTAACTTCCTCTTACTTGAAAGTCTAACCTCACAGGATCTTTAACTTAATTAATTATCACAAAAGATGTCGTTGTCAGTAGAAAAACTGTCCCATTATTTTTCAAAAGGACTTTTTCGATTACCTTTTTATGACCCACACACAATTACGGTTGAAAGAACTTACTTCTTCGTAAAACAAAAAATCTGTTTGAGTTGTATGTATATGTAATGTAGAGAATTATTGTTAGGGAAAAGGGAGAAATGGAATGAAATGAAATGAGTCAAAACCTCTTCAATAATGAGGACACCCGCATACAAAATTTGGCCTCACCACCTGGCAGAAACAAAGTCTCCTCCTTGTCCTGAATACTGTTCAGAGGCCTTTTTGATAATAGCACCTCAATGTTGTGAGCGCAAATTAAGAGAGAAAAATCTAAAATTGATTTAAGGTGATAATGACCCTAAATTTGTTAACTGCTGAAATAAACAAGTTAAAAAAAGAAAAGAATATCGCGATCGGTGGGTTTTGCAATTTTTCAAACGTCAAAAAACGCCTCAGATGAGATGTGTCTCGATGGCTTAGCAGTAATTCGTTAGAACTCAAATTACTTTAGTCGGTAACTTCAGATTTATCTTTTATTATTTCTTTTTAATAAAATTACCTCCATTCGTAAAATAAATGGTACTGAAAACAACATGTCGTCTTTCAGTCACATTTTGTCAGTTGGAGAGTGTCAAGACTCGGGGGCCCGGGTGTCAAGATTGCCTGTTTGAAACGTTGTTTGTCTCGTATTGTGATAAATCAAAACTTTCACTAATTAGAGCTTTTGATTTATCACCCGAAATGGGCTTAAAACAGAAAGTGTTTGTAAACAATTGGAATTTGATTCAGAAGTTTTAAAACAATAATATTTTTATGGGTTAATTTCTGTAAACAATTATGGAAAAAATTAACCAGCAGCCCCTTAAAACTCAAAACATAATAGACATTATAATAACCGTAAGCCTATATGAGGCATGGCGGCCATTCCGCGTAAGTCGTGACATACCGGCACCCCACCAAGGCAGACATCGAATACCATACAAGTCAGGAATAAGAACAAGAATGAGTATTTTCAATTCGTATATTTTGTTCATCGGTGTTCCATATTTTCTGGGTAAGCATATCAAGAGCCATTTTCTTACTAGTTTGTCATAAAATATTCGACGCCAAGCATTTAATTATTATGAATTTTTTACTTTGGCGAAAACATGGCCAGAGTAGCGTAAACGAGTATAAAGAGTTAACCAAAATTTGTGATAGAAGGGGGAAGGAAAAATACTTGTTTTACGAAACACAAGGGCCTCAAACTGATCCGTTTCTCAGAACGCAATATAGAATGCAGTCGAAACTACATGTTTTGAAGTCTGACAAGGTTCTTCAGGACCTGCGGTACTTTTGGCGCTGTTATTAGCAATTTAGGCCAAGTACATTCAGAATTAGGCTCTAAATTTCATTGAAGAGATAGCTGTAATCTCTAGGTGCCAGAAATTTTTCATGCTCTGTTTGCAGTTTCGGTCAAGCAGTCTCTCTTGGCTTCGATCTTCGGCCGAAGTCATGTCGGCCGGCTGTCGGCCGGCGGCTGAGCGGCTGACACCCCGAAACGTCTCCGCCTCAATCGCGATAGCCGCACGCATTGTTGATTAGAAAAATAAATAAATTCGGGTTGATCATCCTTATATGTAACATTACCTTATAAAGGGTTTAGTTTTGTCGTTTGTCTCCCGATTCTCACTTTGATATTGATCGCGACGTTTCGACCACACACCGCCGGTCTTTATCAGGCGATAGTGTCGATTTACTGAGTCGAACTATTTGTACCACCGTGGTTGTTCGTTTAGTGATTGGTGTATCACAAACTTCGCTCATGGTTGGTGGGTTTCGATCCAAAGTATCGTTGGCATTGTGAGAGGAAGAAACTGATCGCTCAGTGGTCCTATGTGGAGAGATCGACTGTCATGTTGTTTGAGCCTTAAAAGAGAAGGGGACTTGGCCTCGAAAATAATTTTTTTGTAGCCCTGTGGGCCTTAAATTGGCCTAAAATTAAACAGGGACCTCGGGCCCTCTTCGTCCATTGGGCCCCTAGCTCCAAAAGATCTGCCAAGTGAACGCCTGTGCCGTCTAAGAAGGCTATTGAACCAAAACAGGCGTTTGAAGCTTTTGAAACTGTTGTAGCTTCAGACAAATAAAAGGTGCTTAAAGAGGCTACGGCAGGCTTTTTCCTATATCTTTTTAGACCTCTTTTTAAAAAACTAAAACTTGTCTTCGCGTCAGTTAAATTCCAAAAATAATGACCTAGTTTTGTTAATTAAGACTTAACCAGCGATCAGGCAGTCCTTCTTACTCTTTCCTTTGGAAGGCGAGGCGAGGGGAAGTGAAATATGCTACATCGTCTTCCCTTACTACAAGCCTGAGCCGCGTGAATTTCCGCTAGCTTAACGCAAGATATATAGCATCGCTGTTAACCCGGTAAGCATCCGAGGGGCGGCAGACAAATCGTAAAGTAAACGGATCAGGCGTTTCTTTTATTTCTCTTTGCCTGTCTGCCGAATTTTGCGCTCTCCAACTCCTCCCACCCAACTGAAAAAGAACGCCTGATCCCAGGTTATTTAAGATCATATTTATGCATTAAACTGTTTCCTGTTGTCTGTTGAAAAGGTGGACATGCATGGATTGAAACTTCAAACTTTTTCTAGTTTTAATGTTATGCCTGAAAAAATCACCAAAAAATATGGTTAGCACTCGCTGGTGAAATTGTTTGATATCTTCTTCATAAATCAGGGGCACCCAACGTCAATTTTCGGAAAATTCGGAAGACGATTTGAGATCTAGAATTTTCGGAACAGTTGTTGTAAAATTTTTGAGCATCTAAAAAATGGTACAATTGCCCATTTTTAACAGATTTGTACCCTAAAAAGGTCACCTAGAATTTTCGGGAGCCTTTTTTCTGGCTGAAATTTTAAAAAAGGTAAGTTTGGATCCCTATCATTCGGATCACTCGACTTTCAGCTAGGAAATCCGAACAAATAAAAAATTTTTAGGAGATTAAAATATGCCTATATCTACCGTTTAAATACTAAAATACGTTCACTGTTATGCTATGTTTAAGTGTTTTTGAACTATGTTCTCGTTGCGTGCCCCTGATAAATCTACATGCACAGGAGTATGACTTTCTTTATGGCAAAAGAACTAAGCAATGGCCACATGCAAAATTGATCTGAAATAGCTGCACTGTCGTCACATAGCGGCGCCTAACAACACCGCTGTCTTTTGTCTTGTTTAATCAGCTAAAATCACTGCACAACTGCAACTAAATATGACTTGCAAAGGAACTATGGCAGTTTACAGTGGCAAGGTTCAGAGGGAGCAGCAAGCAGACATTACTGTTAGCTACCATTATGATATCACTCCTAAAACGGAGATTTTGACGGTTAGGTGTAAAAACTTTAATAGCAAGCCATGGATTCTGGCAAGTTTGAGCAATGGAATGTACACAGACACTCGATGGAAATGTTCCAGTTTTCCAAAGGAGAAAAATATCTCGTCAAGGACTATAGGTCGTCCCGGCTTCAACGATAGTCATTGGGCCCAGGCCGTCGCAGGGTTCTCAAACCGAGGAGAAAGTCCATGGGGAAAGGCCCTGGGCATTAAAGATGAAGCTCGTTGGATATCAGCCGGTGAAGATAACCCGAGGTTGCTTTGCAGGCGTAATTTGTCTGATAAAGCTTATTTGCCTACAGACATGATGGAACATCCGTCAAGGGGTACGTCTTAAGGCTGATGAAGGCGCATAACAGGCGTTATTTTTTCGCGTATTTAGGCTAGCGAAGGCAAGCGCAAAGCGGGTAAGTAGCGACCGACATG